CTGAATTATTAGTAAGTCAAGCATAAATATCTTACCTTCATAACACACATCAGAAACATTGTTTTGGTAGGAATATTATTTATATTATATTTAACTGACATAGATACTTGATGTGATATCTACTTATTTTGATGGTTTAGTTTATATCTATTCCATTGATTTCTATGAATTTATTACATGTGGAATGCTTGATTTACTACTGGCTGTAATTGTATTGACATTTCATCAACTAGAGCAGATCATTATTTCCAGTTGGAACCCAGGTTGTCAATAGGGTTATCTCTAAGAAGTTGAACATCTTGATATTGGAATGTAAAAGATAAGATTTCATATCCAGTAGTTTAGGAAAAATGTACAGCTTTGGTAAAGTTTTGTCAAAATTTTTGAAAACTACAGGAGCTACAGTAGGTCTATATTCAGTCTCTTCTGTTGTCAAGAAAGACTATTGCAAAGTGTTAAAGTTCTTTTGATTTAGGTATCATGACTGATAAGTTCTCATATATGAAATGAGTATGTTACAATTATTGAACATTTGTATGAAAATTGGGTTAAAAACTGTAGACTTGAGGATGACAATTGTAAATGGATGTACTGATGGACAATAAGTAGGTAACAATGGAAATACAGCAACATGGAGTGATTTTTGTCAGCGTATATAATTTAATCAACAAATGTTTTTAAAATTGAAAGTTACAGCTATGGTTGTAAGAATATTTAACATCTTTAAGAAGAATATGGCAATCAGAATTCAGAGACACTCAGTTTCTAAATGTTTTTGGAATTACTTCATGAGTCACAGACTAAACATTCTAATTTATGAAATATTTCTCCAGTATAAAAACCCATGAATTTTGATGAAATGATTCATTCAGTAATGAATAACTGCGAATGTTTCTGAAATTAATATTGATGACTGATTTATGAAACTAATCTTGCTATCAAAGAGGTTCAAGAAATGAATGTTTCTGAAATAACTTATCTAATCAAATAACAAGTTTTTATGTATTTGAAATTAATGTGGCTGCCAATATATTGCTATGAATGTTTCTAAAATTAATAGTTATTATGATATCAAATCATATTGAATTAAGGACTAATTATGATAGAGAACTATTTATAGTATGGTATTGAATATAAAGTCACTAGTAATTAGCAATATTCTTTTTAATAATGATATTATATATTGATTCCTGTACTAATAACTATTCTTATTATATTCAACTCATAATTAATACTGGACCTTGTTCTAAACACAGAATAACAAGACACGTTAATTTACTACTGGCACTCAACTTGCTGATTTACTTTATTCTTCTCATTTTTACATTTGATCTTGAATACCTGACATTATCAGAGCTTTTGAACTCTCGTTCACTTTTGAATAATAGCAAATTACATTCTGATAACTGGTTAGATGAAGAATTTAAATATTAAATCTAAATTGTAATCAAAAAGATATTATGGCTTACAGTGGTTTTGTAAAGTGTATATATTAAACAGACTTAAATATTTCTAAAAGTCGATTACAAGACAAGCACTTAGTAACCTTTCTGTTTGATAGTGTTGCCAATCTAGAAGTGGTAATTATTGCTGAATGTATAAGGGGAAAATTCGATCTATATGATGATGAACCATGTTACCTTCAAGAACTCTTTCTAATTTACACATTGATAGAATATTTATTAACCCCTTGAGCTGTAAGAGATTAGCTTGTCATTATAAATATTATTATTGGGTGTTTGTGGCAGGTGTAGTGGTATGGACTCTATATGGAAATATGCAGATAGATAGATGAATATACCATAAAAAGTTAAATAATATGCTTTGATTGATTGAATCAATAAAATAGCTTAAAACATAATTTTGACAATGGCAAATATATCCATGGAATAAAAAATATTTAATATTGTTTAAACATGGACAAGTTGTTGTTCTCAAAACAGTTGTGATTTGGTTTGAAAAGTGCAAATTAGTAGATCTATAATTCTTTATTTGAATGTATCTGTTTTGAAGAGAAGATAATGAGAACGAAGAAAAAGTGTTTTGATTCTTTATACTTGTTAGATTAGATTTTATCACCAGTGAAAGTTTTTCTGCTGTAAAAAGTTCTGCAATAGATCAGATCTTGCTAAATTTAGAACTATTCTTTTCTGAAGTTGAAAGGCAACCTTTAAAGGAAGGATTGATGTTTTCTTTTTTGAATCACATCCTGTTAACATTATTACAAGAATTAATTGATTTCAATTGAAGGCATTGAACTTATACACTTTCATCTGATATGATAGTGGAGCTTGAATCAGCCTGTATTTAGTATGAAATGTTCTTCAAGAACTGTGGTAAGTTAAAGATGCGAATTATTTGCCATGGGGTATGTGACAATCATTTGTGGAAGATTGAATAGTTAATAAAGTGGTCTGAAGTATTCACATTCTATAGATAAAATGTTTACCCTCTGCAGAAGATCCTGTCTCTCCTAGTTGAGTGTGACATTTCTTTCTAGATGAATGTAGTCACAGACTTGAGAAGAAACTGTCAAACTTAGAAACAGAATTTATTTAGTAAATGCCAAGGTGAAAAAGCTTTGTTTTGGCGAATTGAGACATTCAATTACTTAGTGGGTAAAGTGGGTAAAAATGCTAAATATTTAACAGTCTTTGTTGTTAATAATGCTGTTATGTTGTTAGCATTTTAAAGAGAAAGAATGAATATGTTTTCAATTTCCAAGAAACTGTTACCATCAATTAAAATGAGATAAAAATCAATGACAACCAGGTCTATTTTCTTGAGAGAATGATAACTTTGTTAAACTGAATTCCTTGTTCAGTGTATTTGACATACCATATTTTTGGATTTCTTCTCTTTTATAGATATCAAGTTTCATAAATAGGTTATGTGAATAATTAGCACTATTTCTTTATTACTTCTTTTCCTCGGGATGAAGAGAAATGTATCAATCTAAAAAGCAATCTTATTGAATGACTTCCTTGCATTCTACAAGTGTTCATATTCTCTTGATCTTTGAATATAAGAAGTAATCAAAGGATCTTGAAATTTTAAAACAAGCCAAACATAAAAGAGAAAGCTTCTTGAGAAAAAAACTAGGAACAAATAAAAAATTACTGACATGGTCTGCCCTGATTTTTCAGGTTATGTTTTTGCCATTTTGGATTTAGTTTGAAATATTCTACTCATTGAGAATATTTAAAAAACAGAAGAAGACAGCTTGCCAGGCAAGGTAATATTCACCCACTGGCAGCTTAGATTTTGAATAAAAATATTTGGCAGTACAGTAACAATCACCCGTATTAAATATTCAATCTTTCAGTCATACACTTCTTCTGAATTTTTTGGGGCGATACAAAATAATATAACAAAGTTCTCAAAATCAGACAAGTATTGTGCCTTTAGTGTTCACAAGATAAAAGTTCAACATGTTTTCAAAAACAAGGACAATAACTCATACTAAATATTTTGCGATTCTTCTGATTTTCCATAAGGTGCCTTCTAGAGTTTTTATGGGTTAAAAATTGAACCTGTTTTCATTAACAAGTGCAATAACTCATACTAAATATTTTTCAATTTTTTTTTATTTTTAGTTCCTCCTTAGGTGATTATAAGTTTCGTCAAAATTGCATTTTCAAGAACAAGGGAAATAACTAATACTAGATATTTTTCAATTCTTCTGATTTTCAATAGTGTTCATCCTTGAGTGATATCAAACACACACACACCAAGTTGAAAAAATTTTAAGGTGTTTTAAGAACAATGGTAATAACTCGTACGAAATGTTTTTTGATTTTTCTGATTTTCAATAGGGTTCATCCTTGGGTTATAACAAAGACTCGCACCAAACTTCGTCTATAGCTGACAAGAATTGTGCCTTATAGCGTGTTTACAAGCTAAAAATTGAACGCATTTTCAAGAAAAGGGCCAATAACTCATACTAAATATTTTTCTGTTTTTAATAAGGTTCATCCCAGGATGATTCAAACATTCACATCAAGTTTCGTCGAAATCAGTTAAGAATTGTGCCTTCTAGAGTGTTTTCCAGCAATTGTGAAATGGGTGGTCAGCAAATGGGTTCTGAGAAACCACACATCCAATTAAGTTTTTAAAAGTTTATTATAACATATAACAAAAACCCTGAAATATTCAAAGCAGAATATTATACAGTGAAAGATAGTAATAGAAAATACATAATATATACAATATAAAGGATTATACAAAAATAGCTCTGTCGTCTTAACCGTCTTATTATTGAAAGAATAATAAGAGTAACCTGCGGTGGTTCCAATTACTTAGAATGAATATATATATATTAAATGCCTAACATGTTAATGAAATATAAACAAAGGCTTACCCTAAAGAGGGGTTTTAAACACCAATAGGTATCAAGCAAAGGGCTTGAATACAAACTATTATATAGCCTAAAATGAAATGAGTTATGATGTAATATTTATATGTTGAAACAGTAAGAAAACTATGTATAACTTTGTACAATTGACCATAACTACCACAAGAGGAAATTACTAACTGGAATGCGCTAAAACTATAATGTACAGATAAAAACAAGAACTAGAAAGAAACTTACCAAAACTAGAGAAAATCCAGTGTTCACAAAACACAATATCCAAATGTGAAAAGAGACAAACAAAACTTCTGATACTAGCAAAGAGAAGGTCTTTACAATCCAGAAACTAATATAGTTGTGAAGGCAAAAAGATACAGAAAAGGCAGAAACCAAGGGGAGTCTGGGTAAACAAACCAGAAAACCATGGTAGAGACCAATGGAAAGAAAAAAAGAGTGAGTGAGTGAAGAAATGAACTCACTCAGATGAATAAGTATTAAGAGAGAGATAGAAAGAAGATAAGTGAACTGTGCTATAAAACATAAACAATAATTAAAACCTGGATAAACTTAAACAATAATATTTACACCTAAAATATAGCTCCATTACATATTCCCCCCCTTCTTCAAATGTTGTCCACAACATTTATCTTCATAAAAATTCTTCTGGAAATATAGATTTACACAACGTTGGTAACATCTCTAACACAATCCTTAGTCGCTCTGGTGCTAGTGTAGCAAAATCCACAGGCAATAGAGATCTTGCCAAATCTGCTAGCCTTTGAAATCTGGGAATCTGCTGTGTTAGGACATACTCACCACGTTGTATCCATTGGGGTGCTTGTCGTGTTCTCGATGGTCGCAGTTGATCTTCATCTTCAGGTCTGTTTTGTTCATCGTCGATAGTATCTGGTACTGGTTCTGGTGATGTATGTTGTACAACCTCAGCTGGTGGCTCTGCTGATGGTTCTTCTGTTGTTTCTGCTGGTGATTCCATCGGCGCTTCTTGTGGCTGAGAAATTTCATCTACTGCTGCCTCTGACACTTCATCTCTGGACTCAGCTTCTTGTTCAGATGACTCTGGCCTTACCTGTACATCGTTCTGAGCTGGTTGTACCTCGGGAACAAAGAAAACTTCATCTTCCATCGAGTCTTCAACAACATCTGTGGGGCTAGCTAAAGGTAAGAAATTTACCTGATCCACAATTATTACTGATTCGTCTTCGTCAGTTGAATCACTTGTATCGTCATCATCAGTCATGTCACTTACCACTTTGTTGGTTACCGGTACTCTAGTCTTACCTGATTGTTTTGGTAGTTCAGGAACTGTACCAATAGGAAGTAAGTGGTTCCTATGCAAAATTCTCTTTCGTCCAGTACCATCATTAGCTATCACTTCATATACGGGTATCTCTTCATTTGGTCTTCTTATCACTCTGTATGGCTTTTCTTCCCATTTATCTGCGATCTTGTGTCTGCCATCAAATGCTAACTTCTTCACCAGCACTAAATCTTCTGGCTCCAAGGTGTTATTTCTGGCTCTAAGGTTGTATTTGTAATTACCTGCTTGATTCTTCTTAGCCTTGGCGACTTCTTCAGATGCAGCGGTGTAGGCATACTCCAACTTCTCTCTGAGTTTATCCACGTAGGAGTTGTAGTTGGTGGCTTCTTCCTCTGTATTGACTAGTCCTAACACAACGTCAACAGCAAGTGTTGGTTTACGGCCAAACATCAACTCAAATGGTGAATAGTTGGTAGTGGCATGTTTCGTACTGTTGTATGCATGAACTAATGGCGCAACGTAAGTTTTCCAATCAGATTTCTGCTCAGGGTTGAGCGTCCCCAACATATTGAGCAGAGTCCGATTGAATCTCTCACATTGGCCATTTCCCTGCGGATGGTAAGGTGTAGTACGGGATTTCTTCATACCAGTGAGCCTGCAAAGTTCCTTAATGAGCTTTCCTTCGAACTGAGCACCTTGATCACTATGGATCCTTTTCGTAATACCATAGTGAACAATGAAGGAATCAAAAAGACACTTAGCAGTCACACTAGCAGAAGTATTCCAGACAGGGAACGCCTGTGCAAAGCGAGTGAAGTGGTCAGTTATAACAAGGATATTGCTATAACCATCCTTACACTCCTCTACACAAACATAGTCCATACATACTAGTTCCATTGGTTGATTTGAGGTTATACTGACCAGTGGACATGTCGATGGTAAAGTTTTCCTGTGAATGCATCTGTCACACTTCTTGATGTAGTCATCGATGTCGCTAACCATTCTGGGCCAAAAGAATCTTTCTTTTGCCAAACTCACAGTTCGTTCCCTTCCTGGGTGACCAACAGCGTCGTGAATTCCATTTAGAGCTTGCTTCCTGTAGCTAGATGGCAAAACTAAACGAAATTCTTCTCCATCACCAGTTATCGTGCACCTGAATAAGGTTCCCGATCTAAGGACGAAGTGTCCATATTCCCGATTCAAAGCTGCTTCCTCTTGTGATGAAGCTCGTGGATGTGGTTTCCTGTTTTTCTCTAGATTAATAATAACATGTTTCAATAAGGAATCGTTGAGTTGTTTATTACGCCAGTCTGTGTGCTTTACCAGTGATGTTGGAGTTGGTGGTGAACTGTCTGTTAGAAGTTGCTGGGACATACTTACCGTCTGCAGATAACCATCATCTAGTTCGATGTTCTTAATCGCTTGTACCAAGTCATCAGTCACTTCAGTAAATTTCTGTCTGCTAAGAGCATCTGCATCCAAATTTTTCCTGTCTGCCCGGTACTTTATCGAAAACGTGTATCCTGTTAAAGCTGCCAACCAACGATGTCCTGTGGCGTCAAGTTTAGCTGTGGTAAGAATGTACGTAAGTGGATTGTTGTCAGTGTAAACTGTGAACTGGTTGTTGTACAAATATTGGTGAAATTTCTCTGCAACAGCCCATTTAAGAGCCAGGAACTCCAATTTGTGAGCAATATTCTTTTCAGACTTGGTCAATGATCTGCTTGCGTAGGCGATAACTCTTTCCTTTCCTTCTATTTCCTGGTATAAAACGGCACCTAGTCCAGCTCCACTAGCATCCGTATGTAGAACAATAATTAAAACCTGGATAAACTTAAACAATAATATTTACACCTAAAATATAGCTCTATTACAATTGTGGATGGTCAGACGGACAAAAAGTAAATGGTTTTAAATCACATTAAACTGTTATTACTTAGTTTATAGCTGTCTATTCCTAATCAATGTGAAAGGGACAAAATTTGGCTATCTTTTTCAGCATTTTTGTGCAATGTCCTCTTTAAAGGAATCAGATTGATAATTACATCTTTTATCTACCAGTAACAGAAAATTTATAGATGGAAAATCGGTCTGTTATGTAGAAAATGGATTAGAGGCTCTTGATAAATGATTATGTTAGATTTTACACCTAAGCATGCAATTCGATATTCATCAATCTATTTTGTCATGAAATAAAAATACTCCAATGAGCTGACTAGACAAACACACAAATATGTTCTCAGTATGGCTGGAAATGCTCTGAAACCAAATATTATTAATGCAAAAAGGTTTAAATTCTTTATATTATTTAGCACTGGGGAACTACCAACATTTATGACATGTCAGAGGTTTGCAAACAAGATGGTGGATTGGTCACATAAGACCATGTCAAGATTAGATTCTTCAATTCTGATATTTTGACAGTCCACATAGATACCACTGGGTCTTGAAAAATAAAAAAAAATGCAAAAATTAATGTGCATTTAAGGTTCTCCTGCACTTAAAAACTTTAGAAAGAACCATTAATAATCTAATGAGTAGTCAGAGGTGCTTTTCCTCTGACATATAAGAAATTTAAAACTAAAAATGGTGTTATTATATTTCCTTACTTTAAAACCATTATCAGTTATTGATTCCTGTGAAATGCCACATGGAATAAAATATTAATATTATTATTATGAATAGGAATTTTCTTATAAAAAGAGAGGCCATTATTGACAGTGTAATACTGGCAGTGAATCGGAAAGAGAGTAGTAGAGTGTAAAAAGTGAACACAGTATTCATTCTCATCTGATACAATATATTCTATCTATGTTATTCTCCAGGGTCAAGCCATACAGGTCTATGCAGTAAAGATCATATCAATAATTTTTGGAATAGAGAGACTATGCAATCACAAATTATTTACATGTCAATTTACCAGTCTCTCTTCAAACTAAAGGTTTATATGTTGTCTCTGATTCTATTGAGATTTCATCTGAAAAAGGAAACCGTTAAAGAAAATATTGTATTTTTTTGGTCTAAAATGTACCAAAACAAAAATAAAATTGCTTGTGTTTGAAAGAAAAGCAACATTGTGATTGTGTACAATGGCTACTATGAAGATAATTGATAATGATAAATAACCCCAGGGAGTTTTAAAATACCATCTTTCTACTGGTACAAACCTACAGTCTGTATCTTTACTAATGAATAGTTTTATTGACTTTATTGTAAGATTGTTCTTACAGATAATTGTTAAAGAAAAGTCATGTCCTTGAGGATTTGTTATAGTTTCTGATAATACCGGCTATAGGCCTGTTGTAGGATGTACTTTAAATTTTTGCAAAAAAAAATTCACAAAATTTACTCTGGTCTGTTCTTTGTACATATCAATAAAAAACAAATGTGAAATTCAGTGTTCTGGCTTAACTGCAGTTTGATGAATCAATCTGCGCAAGATCTTCAGGAACCATCATTTCAAATGATTTGTCATTAGTCTAGTTGTTAAAATATCTTAATTGAAAGATAAATGGTAACATAACATTTTATAATGATGCAGCTACAGTAATGGTTTCTCAAATAGCTGTAGGTGTTCTGAGCAAAATAATTTAATTGTTAGTATGAACTATTTATAATTTGCTTTCTTTTTATCTTCAGATGGTTATATTTTCAGACTTCTAATACTTTCAGACATAGGTTATATAAACTAAAAAACCTATTCTTTCATGTGCTGAAATGTCATTCTCAGTTACAGTCTAATTAATATAGCTTGCCAGGCAAGGAAACATACACCCACTGGCAGCTTTGAGAAATGATAAAACTGTCTTTAGTGACCAAAGTATGAATTTTCTCATATTAAAGAAATTGTATTAGTTTGAATTGAATTATATATATATATGCCAGTTATTTATGCTGAGAAAGTCAATATCAATAACCCAAATACATCAAATTATCGCATCAATATACATGATCACACCCTGTTTCATTAAAATCAATTGAAAACTGTAGTCTCTTATGTGTTCACTAACAAAATAATTTTGACGTGTTTTTCCTAAGTCAAAGGCAATAACTCAAAGACCGTTCATCGAAATATCATTAATTTTGAACTTGTCCAAGATCTCATCAATATTGTTAAAAACTGTAGTCTCTATTGTGTTCACAACAAATTTTTACACGTTTTTCATAAGTCAAAACTAAAAGACCGTTCATCAAAAGATTGTCAAATTTGAACTTGTCCAAGATCTCATCAATATAAATGATCACAAAAATTTTCATTAAAATCAGTTGAAAACTGTAGTCTCTATTGTGTTCACAAGAAATGTTGACAGACTTTTTTTTATTAGCTTTTATTTTTAATATAGCCTCTTCAGTTCAGGTCCAATGACAGCCATCTTGAATTTTCGTCAAATTAACCTTTTGATCTAATCTGATAAATCCCCGCATCACAAAATGCTAGCTCTGGAGAGATGCCATCAAGTTTAAGAGGACTGTAGTTAGACCCTAAATGAAGTGGTTATATTTAAAATACAAGCTAATAAAAAACAGAATGAAAGTTTGGTCTAGTTTTAATTAGACTGATTTCAGTTGGTCTCTGTGATCAAGTATTACGATATGAAAGGCCTTAATGGATGTAAATTCTCTTGTGATGCAGATAATCTCTTTGCTACAGTATTCACTGATCAGATTTTAATCTCAACTGCCAATAAATCTCATCTATCATCAATAACTAGATC